CAAACTATCATCTATTTAGACCTATATTTAGAGGCTACTAAGTGAAGTTAAGTTCTAGACTATAGTGGCCTGGAACTGTTTTTACTATGTTATATAAAAACATATCTATTATCTATTACAAAGGATTTATTTCAAGTATATTATTATTTCATTACATGTACAACAGTATAATTACATGATTTTGGTGTGGTTAGTCATTTTTATATTGTTATTGTTTCCTTTTTTGCTGTTAAGAAAGCTTCTTCTATGATCTTGCACACCTTGAAGGAGGAATTGTGTCTGTTCTTCTCTCTTTTTTAAGATGGCATTATATTCCTCAAAAAGGGCCATGCCCCTTTCAGCATTGTCATTTACCACATTCAAGCACTGAACCATCTATAATGCCTCCCTATAGTTCTCTGAGCTTTCATGAGTCTGGGTCATAACACGGAAATTCAAATGGAATTTCGAGGCTCCTGAAACAGCCTATTGTGTTCCTTGTGACAAAAATCTTCAACTGACATATCTTCTGACTTCCTGATATTTAGTTGGATGCACTTTGGAGGTTCATCCATGCCTTGCTTCTTATTTAGTGCCTTTACCGTTGCTCATTTTGTCTCTGTAGATGAAGCTGGATGAAAGAATGCCAAATCAATGAGTTCCTCATTGAGATATCATACATGTCCAGCAAATTTTGAAAGAGCAGAATTCACTTTCTTATACTTAACATGACACCGTAAGAACTTAAGATCATTGCAAGGAGGAGGAGAAGTGGCATCAGGAATGGTGAACTATGTCCTAAGGTAAGCTCAAACAACAAAGATGTCATGAGTCTTCTTTCCTCACAGTCACTGAGCTTAAACTATCACATAAACATCCAGATATTGAGGGCATATAATGCCTTGGCCATTTATTTTGCATGATGCAGTGCATCAGGTACTATAAATTATACTCTACAAGAAGGGATGCCACCAAGAAAGGTTATGGTTAGTTCAAGAAGCTCTTGATAATTGTCTCTAGGTTGGCTGTCCTGAAGTTGTATTATAACTCAATGACACCATCTTTAATTTCCTCTATGACTTCTGCTATTTCATCATGGTAAGTTGTAGTTGCATAATTGGACAGAATGTGCAAGAATATTCCAGAATAATCTAAAATCTTCCAGAGTCATTTAGAATATTCTGGAACATTCTAGAATATTTAGAAAATGCAGATATAGGCAGGCTACAAGGAAAAATTTCAACTACCTTGAGCTATCCCTAATTGTTATTCAATATGGATAAAATTTGGTGTAAGTTACATATTTATATACTGGAATGTGAGAGTGTTGTAAATCAAAACTACAAAAACAAGGACCACCCTATAGATTGCACACACCAGATAACCCTTTGAGAGCACCATTTATTTCCCCAAATCAAAAATCAGACCTTTACATGCAAGAAATATTTTACTATGAGTGAAGCCATATAGCAATAAGTCACTTAAAAGGTTACAGAATCTTATTTAATCTATGACTAATACCTCATATGAATAACCTTGATCTTAGTTGTATAAAATTCTTGTGATCTCCTACAGGTTTAGTCCTAAGTCTGCATAAATTAGTACAAGATTATATTTTTATCACTTGCTCAAAATTAACTGAAGACAGCCATTTTACAAAAAAAAACAACATAAAATCCAAACTGAAAAATTTATTATGCCTTCATCCTCATATAACAATCACCACAATGACTTTACAGGATACTTGCTACTCAGTTCTCACACTAAAAAGAGAAATCTTTATTCTCGATAGTCAGTATTTAATTACTGGCTTCAAATTCATTAAAGATGTAATGATAATTGCAACCAGTTATTTAAGAAACATAATTATATCCTTAGACATACGAATATTCTACAAGATGCACTTGTATTGTGACATGTTTTCGTTGTGAAAGCAAATGAAAGGAATAACTTATCCAAAGAACATTTAATGATAACAAGTACTCTAAAGCTGTGGTTCACACCCTTTTTCACTCCAAAGACACTGGACTCTGTTAAAAGCTTACAACTATTAAAAGTACGTAACCTATAGATATGAAGTACACAGAATATAGATAGAAGTACGTAAGATTGTAAAAACAAGATTGAAAGAAGTATATTTTTAACAAATACAAATATCTATTCAAAAAGAATTGTATATAATATTAATTATCCACTATTATAAATATTTCTCATCTCACTTTCTTTTCTTCCACTGGATATTTTTGCAGACTGGCAAAAACATATCTGCAGACCTGTGGTTGGGAACCAATGCAATGTATAATTACCCTCATCCTTTGTTTGCTTACAAAAACATTTATCCTAACAACTAATATAAATGTATGATCCTCCCATACCTCCAGAAGACCTTATTCATTGCATTCAGCTTGTCAGGTCGATTCAATTGAACATGGAGAATTCGTTCATGAGGGGATGTAATGTCAAGTGTTTCATAAGACATTGTATATCTTGCTTTCTCCGATATATTTCTACTGGACACTACTCCAGCTAAGGATTGAACTGTAATTCTTGGTGATGTTCTGGTAATTACACGACCTAAATACAAAAGTTTGTTAGGTTTGTTAGTATATATCACAGTATAATGCAGGTTATATTATTGAAAAAAAAAAAGATAACCTAAGGGTCACACAAGTTCCTATAAGACAGATCTACAGAATATCTATAGGCTGAAATTTCAGTTTAATGGTTTATTGTGCACATTTTTCAATCATCAATTCCAGTTTTATTTGTGTTGTTATGAACTGTCAACATTGTTCATGCCTAAATGCTTTGGTATTGTTTTATCACAAAAATTGGCTAACACAGCCAATATGTTGATATTGTTAACAATACACCAACATTTTGTTTATAGCATTAAGTATAAAAATAGTTAAAATGTACACAAAAAATTTCAATTATTGACAGAAAGCTTAATATAATGTCATACCCACTAATAACAGACAATAATAAACTATTGAAGCTATATAATGTCAATCAGTTCATAAAGTTGCTTTTTTACAGAATGTGTTTGTTTGCACCTTTAACCTATGTATAAGTAAATAAAGTTCATACTAAAAAATTTTATTTAATAGCATTTTTATAACATCAGAAGTTAAGTACAAGAAAGAAGTACTTGTCAATTTAATGTATGTATTTTTTTGAAGAAAAAACAACAACATACAAATGACATTTGTTTTTCTGTAAACAAATAATTACTACCACAAGCAACATCAATAATTTATCATATTTATCTGATTTTCTATGTTTTTGGCTCCTTGACACCATTCTTAATCCTCAAACAGTAAAAACTAACATATATTCAGCACTCTTAAAACTACATTTTCTATGCATACAATTCCATAAATATTGAAAATATAAACCATAATCATCCATAAGTGTTTCCTGGAATTTGTTAAAGTTTTTTCACTTAAATAAAGTCACATTAGGTTCAGAATTGTGTACAGTTACACAAAAGATTAAATATGATTTTTCTATCGACGTCAAGATGTATCAGTAGTAGTAGCGTGAATAAAGACTTGTAAACATGTTTTGCTCTTACTTCTTCCTAATCTTTGTAAACAATTGTAGTTTACTACTTAAATTTACATTCTATTTTTTTAAAAGTTATGCTGTTAGTGAAATGACTAGTTTAACGTCTTCTGGCTTTGCTAGGTTCAGTTTTACTTCTTTTTTTAAGTTAAACTTAAAACATAAAATAAAAAGTTTAGTATCATAATTATACTTATAATTATATGACGATAATTATTGATGTATCTAATGAGTTTGGAAAAACACTTTCCTTCTGTATTTCTCAAATGCATAGTAATCTATGTATTCCGATTTTATAAAAATACAAAACAACAGACGAAAAATCTCACCTATTAAGCCACAAATAGCATTAGCAACCATGATGTTTTCTTTTAATCTTAACGCCTCTAACTTAAAATATATTCGGCCTTCACTTCACAAAACTGCTTGGGATGGAGCACAACTGGAACTTCGACTTCTTCACCCGCCAGATGTCGTATCGTTCGCGTTGGTTTATTTGAGAGATGAGTCTTGATTGGTCGATAAACAGCAATCTCGAAGAGAATACAAACTAGTTAGCGAATAGTAAAGCCTGAAACGACATGTGGTATCTTCTCAGCAATATTAAGATAAAGTGAAAATGGCAGCTACAGAGGTATTTACGGGTGTTTGTGTTTTCTTGTTTGTGAGTATTTTTGCCATTCGTCAGTACAAAGTGCACTTTTCATGGAAGAAATGTAAAAGCACACGTATTATGAAAGGAAAAACTGTTATTGTTACGGGTGCTAATTCTGGTATCGGCAAAGCTACGGCAAAAGAGCTAGCAGCAAGAGAAGCAAGGGTGATTCTCGCCTGTAGAAATGAAGCAAAAGCGCGAGAAGCAGTACGAGATATTCGAAAAGTGACTGCTGGCGGAGAACTCATAATCAAAGAGTTAGACTTATCTTCAATGGCATCAGTTAGAAAATTTGTTAAAGATATACTTAATTCGGAAAATCGTATTGATGTGCTAATTAACAACGCTGGTGTGTTCCAGTGCCCATATATTTTAACAGAGGATGGTTTTGAAATGCAAATGTGTGTGAATCATTTGGGTCATTTTCTTTTAACAAATTTGCTGTTGGATAAAATGAAAGAATCAACACCTAGTCGTATAGTTGTTGTAGCTTCAGCTTTATATAAACGAGGAAGAATAGATTTTGGCGATTTCCATTCCAAACAAAAGTATGACAAACGATTAAGTTACTGTAACAGTAAGTTAGCAAATGTCTTGTTCACCCAAGAATTGCATCGACGTTTACAATTAAAAGGAGGCAATTTCAAAAAAGTGCATGTGTATGCTGTGAGTCCTGGGATGGTTTGGACAAATCTTGGACGGTACGTGAAAACTTCTTGGTTGAAGATGATCTTTTTGTTGCCTCTAGCGCTTCTGTTTGTCAGAATGCCGTCACAAGGCTGCCAAACAGTTTTACACTGTGCTATCTCAGAAGAAGTAGAAAATGAATCCGGTAAATATTACCGAGATTGCAATGAAGAAACTTACAGTCAAAATGCACAAGACGAAAAAATAGCTGAGAAACTTTGGGAATTGAGTGAGAGATTAACGGGATTGAAGGAAACGTAGAATACCTTAAATAGTTAATAGAAAATGTGGTATGAAGATAGCTAGTAAACGGGAAGTAAAAAAATACTAGTCAAGAATATTGTAGTTTATATCTTTGTTCTTTACATTGTTATTATTTGCATAAAGTCATGTTGTACTTTTGTCTGTTTATTGAAGTTAGATTTATTACGTACTCCAATGTGTATAAGGGAAGTTTACTCCAGAATTAACACAAGTTTCAATCTGAAATTTTCCGCCTCGTTTTATTGCATTCCTTAAATTTAAACATAAATTACATATTTATTTATATTTTCTAACTGTGAGCTACGGTGTTTGAATTTTTGGTGTAAAATGTTAAATATATAACGATCATAAAATATAATTGTCATTTAATGAAAATTTTCTGTTCCAAAATGTCACTTTATTAATAGCTAAAAGCAAAATCAATATTGTTACGTCTCCGTTTGTTAATTGATTTTTCAGTAACTTCGTTCCGACGAAATTTTA